AGTTTTGGCTGCAAACATCTATATATTTTGTTTTTGGAACATTTAAGCCCCGCCCACTTACATGTTCATATAAAGTTATTATTTGAAGCTTCAAGCGTTTAATGTGGTTGTCTCTCTCTCTCTCTCTCTCTCTCTCTCTCTCTCTCTCTCCCCTGCAGTGAAAAGCCTCTCCCGCTCGCAGTTCTTCTGACAGACCAGCAGGGCAACCAGTCCGCTGCCCATCCACAGGACACTCACCTTTCCACTAGCTTTAAGCCCCTCCCATCTGCATCAGGTTTGCCCTCTGGCTCCGCCTCCAGCCCTTTGGCCCCCTCTCCAAGTAGGACCAGGAGCCCCCGCTCTTTCTTTGGGAAAACCCTCAGTAATGCCAGGTCCCTCCCTGCTCTCTCTGTGGATACCTGCCTGGAAGACTTGGCTCCTCCCCCTCCACCTGTAGAGGATTGGTCTGTCCCATTACAAGCCCCGCTCCCACCTAGAACGCCGTCACCTGCTGATCCCACCACTAGGTGTCCTGTGATAACACCAGAGGGCGACTCGTGTCAAACTAATAATAAACAGGCCACACCCGTCAATCATAGCCCAGCTTCAACTTTGGCTCCTCCCCCTTCCTTCAGCCCAACCAGGAAGTGGTCTTGTTTAAGTCTGGATCAACCCGATGTGGTGGATTCTCCAAACCAATCGATCAGCCCCCCCGTTCAGCCTCCCTCAGACTCCGCCTCCAACCCCCCACCGCTTGGCCAGCCCGTCAGACCCGCCTCCAGTCCGGTTCACCGAGGCGCCCTGCCTGTAGAATGCTGGGCGGAGAACGTCAACCGGTACTACAACTCCCAGAATGCAGCGGGAGGTGGAGGAGTGGCGGCAGCAGAGGCTGGAGAGGAGATGTCTGAGCTGGAGACGCTGTACCAGGCCAGTCTGCAGGCTCCCAGCATGCACCGGGGCAGCCGGGGGGTCAGCCCACAAGCAGGGGGCAGCAGAGCAGGTAGAGAGAAGATAAACATTAGTCTGTGACAATTAGAGAAGTAGAACCAATGAATAAATTCTGATGAACTGGTTTAAGATCCAGACTAATTCTGATCAACAGAATTTATCAGGATGATGAGATTCTGGATCCATCAATATAATTATCTTTCAGTTTCTTCAGGTTCTGGTTTACCAGGAGAGCCATGATGAATGAAAGAACAGTATCAGGTCATTGTCTGATAAACTGAGAGTCTAGAGCAGGGGTGGGAAATTCCTTGGTGCCGGTATCCTGCAGCTTTTAGATCCATCTTTGGTCTAACACACCTGAATCAAATGGTTGAATTATCCCCTTAGTCTGCTGTCGGTTCCTCCAGAGTCATCTCAATCTTTGGATTCCTTAATCCAGGTGTGTTGAACCAGAGGCACATTTAAAAGTTGCAGGATACGGGTCCTCAGGAACTGGAATTTCCCACCCCTGGTCCAGAGCCAGTCTGGTCTGTTGAGCAGCAGGCTGCAGACCTCTGATCCACTAGATAAAAACCTTGATTCCATCTCAGCGTGGAGCTAAACGTCCTAATCTTTAATATGCTGGTGAAGATTCTCAGTCATCCAGGTCAGTTATTCCAAGAAAGATAAACAACAATCCTCTGGACTTTGTTTCCAAGTTTGAAGTTTCTCTTCCATCCAGGAAGCTTTTTAATTCAAAATGTCAGAAATAGTTGATTACTTCCTGCTATCATCTCAACCCTACCTTCCCCTTTAAAGGGGAACAGGAGACCCCCCCCCTATTCAGAGACATAGACAGGTATGGGCCTGGCAGACTGACAAAGAAGCCAAACATAAACCAGGCTTTGTTGGGCTGCTGGATAAAACCTGGAACTAAACGCTAATTCTGACATTTTGAATTGAAAAATCTTCCTGGATGGAAGAGAAACTTGGAAACAAAGTCCAGTGGAATGATTTTTAACTTTTTTGTAACAAAACCTTAAAGGAAAACACCGTTTTTTTTACATTGGGTCCTTGATTTTCCGTTATTCCATCATGTTCTACTCTCCCAGATGAGTTTAGTGTCATTTGGAGCCGTTCTGAAGATATTCCGTTAGGTTATATCCAGTAACGTCTTCCTATGGGCAACGACTTGAAGGCACAAACTAAACTGTTCATCATTTATTCTTTATGGTACGCCAGCATTCAGAACATGGAGGCCAATCACTGTCCCCCAGACATCCGCGGTTAGTTTTTTTATATTTATATATTTTTTTAAACAACGCAGCGTGTATATGACGTCAGCAGCGCACTACCGTTCATTCTTCCTGTCCTCTGAACTGCTGCTAGTTTTCCTCACATGCCTGGAAGATGTCTAGTGCTGCTACCACAGATGATCTCACTCTCCAGATGAACCATTCAGATGAGCTAGAATGAATAGAAGGGGTAGAGCGTAGCCACCTGCTGTAATGTACATTGGTTAAATAAAGTTTAAAAAATAAAAAATAAACTCATACACGCGCCGCTTTGTTTTATAGAGTGAACCAAAAAGAAAGCCTGGTTTTAGTTTAGAAAACATGCAAATAGAAACAGACGAACAGGTCCCCCCGTGGAATGGTGTTCCTTTGTTAGCCTGCAATGCCCCATACCTGTCTATGTCTCTGAAATGGGGGTCGTTAGAGGGAATTGTTGGCCTGGATGAATAGGCAAGGTCTTCTGTTCCCCTGTCATATTTTCCCCTCGCTAATATTTTTGCCTAAGCTAGCGCATGTTAAACCCGTCTGCTCTCCTTAATGCGCCCTAACAGCATGTTTCCATGACAACGTCACAGCTTACTGTGGAGTAAACTGCTCACTTTGTCTCACTCCGTCCAACTCCATGCTGATGCTAGCATCGGCTGTTGAGCGTGTTTGTTTGCGGGGAGGGGCAGCGCTCCTAGCTCAGAACGGGACGAGCAGAATCGGCGCCCGTCCAAGTTTCTTTCAGCTTTTTCGCAGCAGTAATTTAATTTTTTTTAATCAGCCACATTTTGGCCGATGTCAAATAATTAGCGGAACGTTAAGATCAGCCCTGCGATTTATCGGCACCGGGTTCTACGTAGAGCAGGCGTAGCTGCCTCTAGACCTGCCCAGGGTTTCACAGCTGGATAAATCTGTGGATCATGTGATGAACGTAAATACTTAGATACTGAATAAAATATGGATGAATACAGAACCCTGTGGAACTCCATTCACACACATCAAATAAATTAGTGACAGGAAATAATTCTGGTTTCTAAAACAGAAATGGAAATATGGAATTCACCATAAATGATTTTTCTTTGTGTGTTTTAAGGTGTGAGGAGGATACCATCAGGATCTGGACGCTCCAAAACACCGACCGCTGAAATAGAGAGATATGCCTACAGAAGTCTGGTCTCACCTGTGCAAAAGGTATAAATGGACTAAAAGCTGCTGCTTCATCAGTAAAAAAGATAAATACTAAAGTTTTATTATAACATTGATAACAAAATTAATGGAAAACTGGAGTCAAAATCACTGATTAACCCTGAGCTGGACTGATCTTCTGATATTACAGGATTCTGTGTTCATCTCAGGTTTAGTGGCTGTTTTATGAAACATCTGGAACAACAGTGCATGAAGCCTAATAATCAGATCAATCTGAGCTCTAGAATGTATTGAAATTTTAGTTTATTCATGAAATGGTTTAAAAGATATAAAAGCCAAAAAGTGTTTAATTATAAATGCACTTTAAAGTTTAAAATCTTAAAGTGCAAAGCCCTTAAAGTGGTTGAGTCAGATGCTGCATTTGGTCTCAGTAAGAGGAAGAAATATCCTCTTCATCCTCACCATCAGTTCCTCGCCTGAGATTACTGGAAGTTTCTAAAGAAATATTCTGTAGAAAGATTCTGATCTTATCTGTGTCGTCTGCAGCCCCCTGCAGGTGAAGACGAGAGCTACAGCGCAGAAAACCTGCGACGCCTCGCTCGAAGTCTGAGCGGAACCGTCATCGGGTCGAGACCGCAGACCCTCCCACAAAGATGTGTAAGTCAAACACAGGAGGATAATGCTGCCCCCTGGTGTTATCATGTCATCACTGCAGCCTATTTCCCTCCATGAATCAAACTGATGTGACTGATTGCAGCTAATGAATGAGATCAAACCAGGAAGTGGATTTAGTTCAAAGCATCAAACTGAGATCAGTCTGAAAGGTTTCAGCAGCTGCTGATGTTCATCCATCCTGTATTCAGCCCTCAGGAGTCGCCTCAGGCTGCTGCTTAAATTATTTATGCCTCATTTAGTTCCTCTGGTAGCTTTACCCTGAGCGCCGTCTGCCAGGTGAAGCTGACTCATGTTAAACATCCAGTAGCCTGCAGACATCTTCTGATCAGATTTACTGAAACTACGGTGGCTCAAAGGGTCCACTATCTGTCAGAATCACTCAGAGAAACTTTATCTGACAGTTTTATCTCATTTATGTTTTTATTTCACATACATCTTGTTAATTTACCTCCTCATTTTTTTTACTCCTCTTTTAAATCCATCTTCATCCCACCTCCTCTTCCTCATCCTGTCTGAAGGACCCCAATGTCTCCAGGCCCCCCCTCAGACACTCAAACCTTCACAGCACCTCCTCCCTCCCACGCTGCCCCAGCACCTCCTCCTTGCACCCCCCCTCCTCCACCTCCTTCCCAGCAGATCACGCCTCCTTCCATCAACCCCGACACCATGGACCCCCAGCTCCACAGCACCCCCACATGCAGGCATCACGGCCCCCCAGCTCGGGGCCCTCCTCCTGGGGACACTCAGGTAACCCACTGACCCCTCACCTCCTCACTGCTCCTCCATCACTCTCACATTTGTGTTGTGCAACTTTACCAGAAGATTATGAATTTATATAAAAAAATATACATATGGAGAAGTTCAAACCTGGAAACAAGGTCCAGTGGATTTTTTTTTTTTTTTTTTCGGAATGACTATGACCTGAATGACTAAGAATTTTCACCAGCGTATTCATAAGGGTGCTTATGATTCTATTGTTAATAGAATCTTATTTATAAAGAATCCCATAAAATCATTACTGCTAAGAGCAGGTGGAATGGACGGTTCAACAGAGCTATGGCTCTGGGTGAGAAATATGCTGCTCTTGCTTTACAAAGGGTCCTCTTATACAGCAGTAAACTAATTTTCCAGACTAGGTGGGATAAACCAGGGAGCCAGCTCTCTATTTTTAAAGTTTTTCTTTTTCAAGGGAGGCATGTCTTCCAAGGCAGTACACAAAGTACTAGTAACCCCATAAAAAATTATCAATTTGTTAACTCTGTTAAAGTAATCCTGAAGGTTATTAAAAAGCGGTCAGAGAGGACAGGGTTGTGAGGAAATACTTTTATTTCTTCATATTCTATGCCGTATGTCAGGACAAGGTCCAAAGTATGAAGATGAGAATGTGTGGGACTATTCACATTTTGAACAAAGCCTGTCAAATGTAAGGTAGCATTAAATGCTAGATTTAAGCTATCACCTTGAATGTCAGCATGGATGTTAAAATCACTCATTATGATGACCCTGTCAGAGTGTAAGGACCTTGTGGACGATGGTGAGTTACAAAAAGAAGAGGTTTTGTTGCTTTACAGTTTGGATGAGGGAAACTTGGGGTTAAATTTTCAAAATAATAAAAACTATTAATTGGCTTTGAGGTAATCAGTAAGTCAGACTGAAAGATTTTTGCTACTCCTCCCCCTTTGCACAGAATTTGTGCGCATATGAAATTGTAGTTGCCTCATTTATGCTCACATAATCCTCTTGCTGCAGCCATGTTTCTGTGAGGCAACATAAATCTATTTGATAATAATAGATCAAATTAACTAACTGACCTTTTTATTAGAAATACATTATGTTAACTAATAAAGTATCTAATGCTGACATATTCCTGTATTTGGAGAGAACTGATTGATTCTCATTGGTTTAAGTGCTTCAAGCTGACCATGGTAACTATGGCTACTTTCACCCTGCAGGCCTTGATGCTCAATTCTGATTTTTTTTTTTG